TTTAATGTTTCCTCCACCCAGAGATAACGGCCTCAATATGGCTCCAGATAGGTTGTTCTTGACGTTGTTCTTAGGTCATTGCACTTGAACCTCCTGACAACAGGGGTCAAGTGTAGCTGCTCCTCCTCAGCCTGCCTCCCATAGGAGGGCAGTGGGTCCCGCCCAGGCCTGCCTCTGTTGCAGGTGATGCTGGTGGGTGAGATAAGAGGAACTGGGTTTGTCCACTGATGCATTTGGTGGCACTTTCTTTCTGCATGGGCCTTATAAACATCACGTCCCCTACAAGCTTCCTGGTTGCAGTCCATAGACATGCAGAGCGAGAGATCCCATAGGTGACATTGGCCCAAGTGCCTCATTCCTGAGGTAGCGGGGCTGCAGTCAGCAGGCGAGGGGACTTGTTCTCAGTCTCAAGATCTCGGATTGTAGGCTGCTGCATTGCTTGGCTTTGAGGAGGCACAGGGAGCCCTTGCTGCACCCTGGACCTGCACCTTTTACCCCAGACCTGATTTGGCCGGGGTATGGGGGCTGGGCATGGAATCTGCTCAGGTTGGGGTCTGACCTCTTTCCTGTGGAGGGTACAGTATGTGGGATGGGGAGCCCAGCAGCTGTTGGGCCTGCATCCACACATCCAGGAGATGCCTTCAGAATGGGTCTCAACAGTCCCCAAGAAGACAAGTGACTTGGCTGTTGGATTCTCCCCCAGGCCCCTTGTCAAGTTGCACATCAGGGTTCCTGGGCACAGCTCTTCCCTGGCTGCCCACCTCCAGCTTTGTCCCTCTGGGGATCCTGAAGTCACTCTCCTGTACTGCCAACCTCTTTCCCTCCTAGCCTTCTTGCTCTTTGCCTACAGAATGAAGCACACATCCCTGGGGCTATGAAGCCTGCCCCTCCAGCTACACTTCCTGCCTCCTGGGAGCCCGGTGAGCTGGGCCCAGGAGGCTTCCGTGCCTTTCCCGGGCTGCTGCCCTTCCCATAGCTCCGGTGCTGCTGCCTCCTCAAGCAGTGCTTGGCTTAGACACCCCTGCCTGGAGATCTTTTCTGGCTCTGCTGCCATAGTTACTTCCCTGGGCTCCCTGCAAGTTGCTCTTGCAGCTTGACCGCCCTGTGCACTGCCTCTTAGTTGCCACCCCACTCTTTCTTCTTCAGGCTTGGCTTTTCAGTTGCCAGGTACACAGTAGATGCATACCTCATGTTTGGAGAGCAGCTGACCTGCCTGCTCTGGGCATTGGCTGGACACCTGCAGTGACAGCTGGGGTTGAGCTGGAACCTTTTAATCGGCTGCACAGGGCCAAGGCCAAATGCCCTCTTGGTAGCCCTTAGCTACCAGCAGGCTTGGCAGGTGGCATGGAATTGCTGGTACCTTCCCTTGTTGGCGGGGGAGTGGCCTCACATACAGGAGCACTCCAGGCTCGCAGCTACTGACCAGTGTTGGGCTGCTGACATCTGTGGCTGAGGCCTGACCTTTGGAAGCCTGGGGATTATGCAGGTGAAGCGAAAAGTCTACTCGTAAGACCCACAGTGGACAGTAGGAGAGAAAGAGACTCTTTGCAACACAAGTTTAATTCTAGGTGGTGAAGCCTTCTTGTGTGGTCATGGAAGGCAGTATAGTTTTGAAACCTGGGATGTTATGCACCTTATCAGAGCCCTTGCATGCTTCTTGGTGGGGGCACATTACATTTTAACCTGCCATTGAGGAAGGGATGATCGTCAATCCCACATCCCAGACCAGGGCACAGTGGCAAAGAGTGTCGGCGGACACAGGTGGGAAGCAGCTGAGTTGAAGTCCCAGCCCAGGCCAACCTGGCTCTTGAAGCCTTGCTCTGATCAAGGGCAGAGGTGACCTGACCAGACCTGGCCCATGGATGGATGGGTTTGTTTAGCCCCACAGTGGTGGTTTTATTCCTTCTTTTTTTTTTTTTTTTTTGGTACCGGGGATCAAACTCAGGTCCTTGCGCTTGCGCAGCAGGCTGGGAAACCACTGAGCTAAATCCCTGGCCCTCCTTCATTTGTTTTTCAATGGAGTAAAGGTCAGGAGATGGCACCTGAATGTCTCTCAGTCTGGAAGCCTGAGGGTGCTGGCCCAGAGCTTCTATGGAGCTTCCTTGGGGACAAAGGGCCTGGCCTGCGTTGGTGAGACATGGCTGCTCTCCCCCAGGCCCCGAACTGGCTATCCTCCCCCTCTCAACCTCCCGTAGGCCAGGCACTGGCCGGAGGCAGGGTCCTGAGGAGCCAGCAGCCTCCTATGGAGCTCCCTTCCTGAGTCTCTGTGGAGTCTGTGGTTAACAGATTGCACATTGTATTTGGCAGATTGATCGCAGTGGCTTTGAAGTTCACCAGACCAGGGATTGCTGGAGATGTCAGTAGGCGCTGGGTGTGTGGCAGGCTTCCAGTTGGAGCCCTGTGTGACTGGTGCACCCAGGGGTCCAGGCGCTCTGCTTCCCGCTTCTAAGTGCTGTGCTTTTTTCTTTGTTTTACTGCCCCTAATCTGAGAAGAGAGGTGGTACAGTTCTTAAAAGATTTAATGAAAAACATTTTATAAAGTTGTGGCCCTCTAAAGATCATGTAAAAGAGAGTTTGTATGAGCATGACAAAGGCCAGGGAAGTTTCTGGGGGTCAGGGGAGATTGTTAAAGTTTGCTCTGCATAGCTTTGGATTGTGTCACTTGTTACAAACATTTTATTTCAGAACTAGGGATCGAACCAGGGCCTACATACCAACATCTGCAGCCCTTTAAAAAAAATTTTTTTTTTCGGTAATGGGGATCAAACTCAGGACCTTGCACCTTTGAGGCAGGCGTGGTATCACTGAGCTAAATCCCCAGTCCTCCTTTTTTAAGATTTTGAGAGAAGGACAAAATTTAAAAGTTATCCATGCTGGATTTGAACTTACAGTCCTCCTGCCTTAGCCTCCCAGAGTGCAGGGATTACAAACATGCACCACCACTCCCACCTACTAGTGTTTAGTTTTTAGGTTAAAATGTCTAGCAAAATATAATGCAATTACACTCCATAGTTTTAACAACAGTCCACTAGAATGCCACTCTCGATCACCCTTGCAAACACTGGACAGAAAGTGCAGGAGGGAGTGGATGGTATGGGGCTTCCAGGGTGGAAGTGAGGTGTGGGTAGAAGACTGCCTCATTGGCACCAGTCAGATGTTTCCCTCCTAGCAGTGCATGACCCTGGGCCTAAGGCATCGTCCAGTAGTGAGCTCAGGAGAGGACAGAGCCCTGGGTCATGCTGGGACTTCTGGTTTTGCCAGGATATGGCAGGGGCTGTTTTGGGATCCCCAGGGCTAAAGGCAGTAGAACAGTCAGCATAGTAGGAACAATCTGAACCCACACACTGAGCCCTATAGGTAATTTAAATGTCCACTGAACACGTTAGTACTGACTAACAAGACACAAATGGAATGAATTTTAATGACGTATTTAACCCAGTGTTCCCAGATATCATTCCAACATGCAGTCAGTGTGTAACACGATTACAGATGTTTTGCATTCCTTTTTTTTTTTTAAGCTACGTCTTTAAGGTCTGGTATAAATGTCCTACTTGTCGTCCTTGAGTCACATGAGCCACTTTGCAGTACTCAGTGCCTGGACCCTTGTAGTCAGGAGAGGAAATGGCTCCCCCCACACCTTGGGTCTGTGACTCCCTCTCCAGACGACAGACAAACATCAGCAGTGAATGCACATCTGGAGCGCGGGGTGGTGTGGGGCCAGGCAGGGATCTCAGAACCAGAATCAGGCCAGTGGGGATTCCCGAGCTCGCTTGCAGGGATTTTGTTTTATTTTGGCCTGGCAGAAATCAAAATTTTTTCCAGGGTGTACTTACCAGCTGACCATTGCAATGACCACACGTTGCCCACTCCCCTGGCACCCTTGTGCTCTCAGGCCTTTAATGTTGAGGTGGCTGTTTTTAATCTCCAAGCTTCACCAGGATAAGAAGTTATAAAATAAAGGTGCTCATAGCAACCAGCTCGCCCACATCCCACATTCCTGTTATTAAGGTATCACACTAAGTGCTTCAACTTGTAATGAAAATATTGTGACTCGTAAGTGAAAATATTGTGACAAGTCAGAGAATTCAGGGTTGCTATGGAAACCTTCCCCACTCCTCTTCTGGTCCCCTTCCCCTCTCCCCTGTCCAGCTTGGCTGCAGGCTACTCTGCTCCCTTTGTTTCAGCACTTAGGCCTCTTTTCAAGGGTGGGAGGGCTCAGGCCTTTGCTGGAGGAATGCCATCGAGTTCTGCCTTTCTTGCCTTACAGGCTGCTCCTCTGAGAGCCCTGATGAGAGGGAAACGCTTGTGTGCACTTGAGTGTGTCATGTGCACTTGAGTGTACCTGTATGCATGCATGCGGCGAGGGTGGTCAGGAGTTTTTCCACAGTGAGAAGTGGCTGTTGGCCAGAGGCTCTGTGTCCTAGGTGTCCCTTGTGGGCTGGTGCGCTCACAGGCCCATCCTGGAGGAAGCCAGCCCAGCTTCACCTCTCCCAGGCTTGTCACTGCCTGAGTTTCACCGAGGGAGAGCTGGAGATGGTGTGTGACCTGGGTGTGTGGACACGGCCTCCCCTGGCTGTCCATTCCTCGCTGTGTCTCGGGTGTGTGGTCTTCAGGTCCATCAGGGTCCCCAGGGGCATAGGGCTAGGTCACAGCCTATTGGGAACAACCTGCTGAGCCACGCAGGCTGAGAGCTGATCCAAGACTTTTGCTGGAAAAAGAAAAAAGGAGAAGTAACCCTTTGGGGAAGTGTGTCTTGTTTATCTCTACTCAGGTTCATCTTGATGATAAAAAAGGGTCCTGACTCACAGCCCAGGCTAGCACTGTCTTCCAGCAAGTTAGAAAGATGGTGTGACCCGCATTTGGCCACAATCAGTGCCCTAAAAAGAGCAGGAGGCCCAGGCCAGCCCCCTACTCCAGCCTGCTCGCCCTGGGCAGGCACCCTGTGACCGTGTTAGCTATTTTGGGGTGTGAGGGTAAGCTCCTGCTTCTTCCCACTTCAGGGCCCCCCGATGCCAACAGCCCTCTCTACCTACCCTACAAGACGCTGGTCTCCATGGTTGGAACCATGGCGTTCAATGAGGGTGAGGCCCAGCGGCTCATCGAGATCCTGTCTGAGAAGGCTGGTGTCATCCAGGACACCTGGCACAAGGTGAGTCTCCCTTACCCCTGGCCATACCACAGCTGCCCCTCTGCCTCTCCCTCCAGTCCCCAGTCCACCCAGCCTCCCCCAGTTTACTGAGCTGCAAAGAGAAGATCCCAAAACATTGCTGGTTCTCCATCCCAGAGGAGTCCTGTGCTCCTGCCCTGCTTGGGCATGTGGGTCACCTGGCCACCCAAATTGGGTGGCTGTTGAGGGTGGGGGTGGGGCGTGGGCAGCTTCTGCATTGCATGGGGCCTGCATGCACACAGGAGCAGGTGCCTAGTGGGTTTGTGACTAGCTCAGGGTGTGGGAAGGAAGGTAGAGGGAGCCCGTAACGAGCATGACACCACTGGTTCTTGCACTGTCCAGCAAGGGTGGACTGTGTGCTCACTCTGATGCTGTGTGCTCACACGAATCTTAACCTGGGCTGGGATTTGGGGTGACTCTGCTGGAGAGTGGTGGCCAGATGAGTGCTGGTGGGTGTTCTGAGAGCCAGGGTCAGGTTCCCTCCCGGCCCCTTCTTGCTGTCCCTGGATCCCACTGATGTGGGAGCTCCTTGCTCAGGGTGGGAGGCCACTGTCCCCAGAGTCCCTTCCCCCAACCTCATTCCTGCACTGTGGTCAGGTGCTCCCAGTCTGCAGGCCCTGGCTCAGCAGGTCTGGAAAGCCATGGTCCTGAAAGCTACCCAGGATCTCTACACAAGGATCTGGGAGGCCCCAGGGGGTGGGTGACCGGGCAGGGCCTCCTCTTCCTCATCTGTGCCTGATGGGGTGGAATGGCTGGCCTTAAAGCCTTGTTCCTGCACTGGCAGGTGCATGGGCCTCTGCTCTTGTTGGGCTACCTAGGTGGGGACAGGCTGGGTGTTGACACAGCTCCGTGGGTGTTTCCAGGCCACTCAGAAGGGAGACCCCGTGGTGATTCTGAAACGTCAGCTGGAAGAGAAGGAAAAACTGCTGGCCACAGAGCAGGAGGATGCGGCTGTAGCCAAGAGCAAACTGAGGGAACTCAACAAGGTACAGCCGGAGCCAGGAAGCCTCCCCTCCCCAAGGTCCCCGGACTTCAAGGCTGTGGCTGCCCTAGGTCACAGCCATGGGCTCAGGTGGGCTCTGAGGTGGAGCTGTGCCACCCGGCAGGGGGCTGTTCTCGAGCCCTGGGTGATGCGACTGAAGATATCTGCTATGGGGAGACAGCCGGGTGTGGGGAGGGTCCCTGTGGGATCTGGCATCTCAGTTTGTGACGGATGACCTGAACAGGCTGTCATCAGGCATCTCATGGTAACGAACTGTCCTGCCAACATCCCTAGGAAGGAGGCGGGACACAGACGATCCATGGTTGTTTGCTTGAGAGTTGGGTCTTGGGCAGAGGATGCTACCTCTGTCCCTGTTCTGCCTGCCACGGCATGATGTGCAGGGACACACTGGCTCCTCAGGACCAGCCGCTGGGAAGGGCAAGGGTGAGCTCAGCAGCAGTCGGTGGCAGGTCCACACCACATGGGCCTGACTGAGGACTTGGTTCAGGTGTGTCAGGACCCTGCCGAGTTGGTGGGGTCTCTCCCGAGGAGCCCTGGTGCCCCAGTGTTCCCTACATAGGACATCCACACCAGCCTGCCTACAGCCCTTCCTGTGGGCGCCTCCAGCTGCTCGGTGAGAATCGGAAGCAGACAGTTTGCTTTTCCTGTCCTGAATTTGGAGGACGCCTCTGTGAGGCAGACAGCAGAGGTGTTGGGTGGGGGACAGGAAGAAGGAAGATGAGCATTTGGATGGTGTAGCCAGGAGCGGGGCAGAGATAGATTGGCCTCTGGGGCCTTCTGTCCCCAAGCCCTCTGTTCCCAGTCCAGGATGTGGCTGCTGGCCTTCCCTGGAGCTGTCCTGGTTGTGGATCATTCCCTGGCTCCCGAGGGCTGGTCCCCTCTTGGTCCACACCACGTCTCATGGGTCAGCAGACCTGTGCCCCCAGGGGAAGAGTCTAAAACCACAATGGCAGCAACCCCAGGGCACCCTCACCAGGTGTGCACACCATCCTGCCCTCCAGTTGGGGTGCTAGAATTTACCCCTGGCAATGTAAGTTTCTCATCTTCCCCCGGCATGGCCCTTGGCTCTGAGTTGAAGTTGAATGTCACGTCCAACCACGTCTGTGTCCCTCATCATGTCTCCACTCCACAGCCCGAGGAGGGCCCCTTGGATTCCTTGATGCTTCCTGAAAGGACCCTCAAGCTCTGCCACTGGGCCACAGCCCTCAGCCCCAAGTCTGCATGTGGAGCAATACCTGCCACACCCACTGTGCCTCCTCCCCCCTCATGCCCTTCTATACACACACCTGCCATCCTGCACATGCCCTTCCAGCTCCCTCTATTCTGGCCTGTTGTGGCTCTCGCTTCTCCGAGCCTCCCATGCCCTCCTTGTAGGCTGTCTAGACACTTCCTTCTTAGCCAAGGAGGTTTGGCCTCCTCCTTCACAAGCCTCCTAGAGCTCTGTCCCTGTCCCACACAGAGGTCACTGTTGTAGTGAGGTGTCACCTACCTGTCCCTGGTCCCTGGGAGGCTGAGCCTCAGGGAGCTACCTTCTGTGCAGCTGTCCAAGGCCTCTGTCCTGAAGCCAGGCTCTGCACTGCGTCCTTGCTGCACCTGAGCATCATGGCCTGGAAGGAGCTTGAGCTCTAAATTGAATGTGGTCAGGAGCCCCCAGGGCCTTTGAGGGTGTCAGGTGTGCTCCTGGGACACCATGGAAGGAGTGCCACGTCCACCTTTATCTCAGAGGGCCAAGGGCCATCCCTAGTAACCCTGGGGAATGGTGCTGGGAAGAAAGTATGACCAGAAAGCTGGGTACAGTGCCACACTCTAATCCTAGCTATCTGGGAGGCTGAGGCAGGAGGATCACAAGTTTAAGGCCAGTCTGTCCAACTTAACAAGACTTTGTCTCCAGATAAAATTGCAAGGGCTGAGGGTGCAGCTCAGTGGTAGAGCACTTGCCTAGCATGTGCCATGTCCTGGGTTCCACCTCTGGAACCACAGAAAAAGAAACTGTGACCAGAACCCAAAAGAAGGTGCCCAAAGAGAGCTGTTTGTGTACCGGGTTCTGGCAGCAGTGTGGAGCCTCACCTTTCAGCCTAGACCAGAAAACCAGCTTTACTGGGAGCTTGCCCACCCTGTCGCCACCCTGCTGGAAGTAAAGGAGCCCACTTCTGACTGCCTTGTCCTCTGCTGCCTCAGGAGATGGCTGCGGAGAAGGCCAAGGCTGCTGCTGGGGAGGCCAAGGTGAAGAAGCAGCTGGTGGCTCGGGAGCAGGAGATTGCAGCAGTGCAGGCACGCATGCAGGCCAGCTACCGAGAGCACGTGAAGGAGGTGCAGCAGCTACAGGGCAAGGTGGGCACCTCAGGCTGGGCTGGCTGGTGTCACGCAGCCTGTGGCACATGCAGTCCTTAGTGACCACCTGGGCGACAGCGAGACCTTGTCTCAAGATACAAAGTAGGAAGGGGCTGGGGGTGTGGCTCAGTGCAGAGGCCCTGGGCTCAGTCCGCAGTGCCACAAAAAGAAACCAAGCAGAAAGGTGTGGACTGCATTGTACAGCAAAGAGCAAAGCACTCAATGGCCAGCCCTGTGAGGCTGGATGTTGCTGGGGTCACACTGGGCCTGGCACCCCTGGGCTGGAGCTGTACAGTCTGCAAGCCTCTTGTTTTATGGCACCTGAAACCTCCACGTGGAGCAGGGGCCTCTTAGGTATGGGCTGTTCCCTCTGTGGTCTGCGACCTTGCTAACCCCATCCCAGAATTCAGTTCTCCGTGTGGCTGAGCAGCATCTGATGCCTCCTTATGACTTCTCAGATCCGGACTCTGCAGGAGCAGCTGGAGAATGGCCCCAACACCCAGCTAGCCCGACTACAGCAGGAGAACTCCATCCTGCGGGACGCCCTGAACCAGGCCACCAGCCAGGTGGAGAGCAAGTAAGTGTACATCTGCAGCCCTCGTGAGACAAGCGAGTACCCTCTAGTTTCTTGCGAAGATGTGGCTGGCACCGCGTGCAAGCCCAGTGTGAACACAGGACCATCTCTGTGTCCCTGCTCCTGCGCAGCCTGTCCTGCTGTCCATTCTCTGCGTAGCTCCTGGCAGTTGGTGTGGCCTCTCTGGTGGAGGAGGCCTCAGGGAGAGTCTGAGTTGTGGTGTCCCTGGATCAGGTGCCCCAGGCTGGTGCTTGTGGCATCTCACTTTCCTGAAGGAGCTGTGCTTGCCCCTGCCCTGTTTTGGGAAGGCTCCTGGGTGTGGCCCAGAGCACTGAGGCTGAGTGGGGTCTGAGTGGGGTGCCACAGGGCATGTGGTACACTCTGATCTGTGTGCTATGCTGGGGAAATGTTTCCCACCAACCCCCGGGCCCCATGGCTGCTGATGCAGAAGAGGGTTCGCAAGATCCCCAAGACCCAAGTACCCACTGGCAGGTGTCCCTGCTCCCGGCCCCTGCTGCCTATGAGTCAGGCTGTGACTGTCCTGCAGGCAGAACGCAGAGCTGGCGAAGCTGCGGCAGGAGCTGGGTAAGGCCAGCAAGGAGCTGATGGAGAAGGCGGAGGCGTCCCGGCAGGAGGAGCAGCAGCGCAAGGCCCTGGAAGCTAAGGCGGCCGCCTTTGAGAAGCAGGTGCTGCAGCTGCAGGTGAGTGTGTGCACAGCATGGGATGGGGACGGCCAGCCCTCTGCAGCTGGGCTGACAGCTGGAGATGGGGATAGTACTGCGGGGACCTGTCCATGTTAGCTTTTTTTTTTTTTTTTTTTTTTTTTTTTGATACTGGGGATCTAACTCAGGTCCTTGTGCTTGCAAGGCAGGCGGCAGAACCACTGAGCTAAATCCCTGGCCCTTTTTTCTTTCTTTTTTGAGAGTGGGACTTACTGTGTAGCCCAGGCTGGCTTCAAACTCTCAGCGATCTTCCTTCTTTAGCCTCCCAAGTTGCACCACCAGGCTGGAACAGCAGAGCTCTGGGGGCTGTGTGAGCCCATCCATGGGACAGGGAGGTCTGAGCCAGCAGACTGCACCGAGGGAGTGGCCTAGTATAAGGGTCAGGGTTCAGTGTAATGATGTGAAAGACCTGAGTGAACTGCAGAACCCAGGACTGTAGTTGTGCACCACGCCTGTTTGCGGCGCACGCCATAGCTCTGCCTCCGGACGGAGTTAGACTCAGTCTGTCCAGACCTTTGCTACCAGCATGGCTTTGTGAGCCCCTCAAAGATGTAAAAGTACTGAATCCTAAAGAGGAGGGGCCTGGGCTGCTGGCTGGGGCAAGACCCTGCCAATTCTCAGCCTTCGGGAGTGGACTCTCACTCGGGGGCCCAGTGGGCAGAGCTGTCCCAGTGTTGCCCCATCACCACCTCCCTCTGCCTCAGGTGTCCTACAGGGAGAGTGAGGAGGCTCTGCAGAAACGTCTGGATGAGCTTAGCCGGGAGTTGTGCCGCACTCAGAGCAGCCATGCCAGCCTGCGTGCCGATGCCGAGAAGGCCCAGGAGCAGCAGCAGCGGGTGGCAGGTGCGGATGTGCATGCGGGTGTGTCCTGGTGGCCCTGGGGCAGGGCCTGTAAAGGCCAGACACTCCTTGCCATACTTCCTGAGCCACTGCCTGGGCCTGGGCTGGCAGCAGTGCCGCCCACAAGGACAGGGTCACACAGTGGTGTCCTCTATACAAGGCATCACCCGTGAAGGGAGCTGTGGAAAAGACATTTGGTCTCTGCCACAGCTACCCAGCTCTGCTGCTTGGGCAGAAATGGCCACAGACAAGGTATGAATATACAGCCCTGGCTTTTTTTTTTTTTATACCGGGGATTGAACTCAGGACCTTGTGCTTGTGAGGCAGACGGCGGCACCACTGAGCTAAGTCCCCAGCTGCCCTGGCTTTTTAAATAGAGCCTTGTGTATAAAAGAGGGGGAGGCTGCCCCAGAGGCTAGTTCAGCTTTGGTCCCGGTGGCCTCCCTGAAGCAGGAGTGGTGTCTGAGCCTTGGTCAGGATGGTGGCAGGTAGTCCCTTGAGGAGGCCAGCCAGCCTGTATCCAGAGGGAAACGGCTGCCTACTGACCAGTATGGCCTGATGACGGGGGCCAGGTCCCTCTCCCTGTATGACGGGAAGGGTTGGGGCAGAGGAAGGACACATTCATATTTGCACTGCAGGACATTGTGGTGGTGGGTGGAGAATGACCATGGGGACAGGAGTGGCCCAGGGAAAGGACAGGGTCCCCATGGTCATCCAAACCCAGGGCAGCAGTGCTTGGTGCCAGCCACCCTAGTGGTGCCAAGGGGGATAGACCTGGTCTTGGTGGATGTGGGAGCCCCGTGCTCAACAAGGGAGGATGGCAACCGGGGTGCAGTGTCATGGGCATGTGGCCCTCACTCAGGGCCCAGGGACTTCTGAGATCCCCTGGGGAGGACACCCTCAAGGAGGGAGGGGCCACACAGCCACTGTCCAGAGTCTCTGGCTACGTCACTGCTGCTCCTGTCTCAGATAAGAGGAGCCAGAGTCTCGGAGAGAATGAAACTCTAGAGACTTCCACCAAAGGCCACTTGCAGTCGTCTTGTCCTCCACGGCTATCCACCACCTGCATTTTACCCTGGGGTCTCCAGGAATGCACTGTCAGGGTGTGGCATTCGGTAGCCAATAAGGAGTTCCTGGGTCCACAGTGTGTCAGATACCCCAGGCCCCAGGAGGCTGTAAGGAGGCCTGGTGCACAGGGAGGGGTGGGAGTACTCGTCCCTGCATCTCCAGCCTGAGTACCATCTCCCTTCTGCAACAGAGCTGCACAGCAAGCTGCAGTCCTCCGAGGCAGAGGTGAAGAGCAAGTGTGAGGAGCTGCGGGGGCTCCATGGGCAGCTCCAGGAGGCCCGAGCAGAGAACACCCAGCTGGCTGAGCGCATGCACTCCATCGAGGCCCTGCTGGAGGCGGGCCAGACACGGGACACCCAGGTCAGCCCCTCCTCTGGGCCATGGGAGACGGCCAGTGGCTCTGCCTGGGCTGGCTGTTGCCCTTAGGGGTCTCCTGGGGACCCAGGTGCTCTCTGTCTCTTCCAGGCCAGCCAAGCTGAGGCAGAGCAGCAGCAGACCCGGTAAGGCTTCCCTCAGGGAAGAGCCCCACTCCTACTGCATCCCTGCAGGGACCAGAGAGCAAGGAACCAGCCCGGGTGGGAAGGATGTCAGTCTCGCCAGGAGCTGTGTCGCAGTCTCTTTTTGTTGCTATGACAAAATACCTGAAACTGGTCACTTCATAAAGAAAAGGGGATTGTTTAGCTCCTAGTTCGGGAGTAGTAAGTCCCAGATTAGGCAGGGGCTCTCACTGTCAACATGCTGTGCTGTTACAGTGGACAGCATCACAGCGGGAGCACCTGCAGGGGTCACATGGCAGAGCAGGAAGCAGCTCACTCCCACCTCAGGGTCTGACCACTAAGGCCAGAGCGCCATCTGGATGGGCTGCTCCATTTGGGCCAGTGTCCTCAAGGTGTCACCTTTGGAGTCCCCAGAGCACCTGCATGGGCCAGGTGTGGAGACCACCCTCCATGCTCTTGCACAAGCTGTGTGTGTCCCTGTGCTGCTCAGCAGACAGCTCCCTGGTCCCCAGGCCAGTGTCCCCCAGCAGGCATTATGGTTTGGGGACTGGGGAGAGAAGACCCAGGACCCATACTCACCCTCCCCACCTGTCTTCCAACAGCACATGCACCTCCCCTCCTGCTGCAGCTGTGGGTTGCAGGGGTATTTTGTTGGGCTTTTGCTCCTGTATCCTAAGGTCAGATTCTTGAGCTACCCAGCAGAGCACTAAGATAATTGAGTCCCACTGCAGATAGAGTTGGTCTCAATTTGCACCTCACACAGTTGTCTGGAAGAAGCAAATTTATTTCCCCTTCCAGTGGTTTGTCTGCAGGCAGTAGAGCCCAAGCCATCTTGTTCTGGGCAGTGCTTCCTCACCACACCTTCTTAGCGGCCTCCCAGGGTGTGATTGTCAGGGTCCCTGTCACCACCCTGCAGACCTTTTATTGGGGCTGCTGTCCTGGAGAGGCTGCTGCGTGGTGCAGGGACTCCAAGGAGAGTCCAGGGTCCTGGCGGGGCCTTAAGAGTGGGGTCAGGGTGCTGTGGCCTGAAACCAGAGTCCAAAAAGCAAGCAAGGGTCAGCAAGGCCAGCTGTAAGCTGTACCTAGGTCAAAATACAGGGTGGTAACAGGTTGCATCTGTGACCTGTCAGAGCGGGCAGGATAGGCTACAGGCTTGGCCCATGGTGACACTGAGGCCAGCATCCATGCGTATGAGGAGGTACACCAGTGCATCCTGTCCCCACCGGGCCAGGCTAGTGGCAGCTCCCTCCTGATCAGGCCACCACTGGCCACTGCAGGGCTTAGAGTCCACATATCCTTTGTCTCCTGTCTGTCCTGAACCTTAATGTAGAGGGGGCATTTCAATGTAGCCTTCCACACTTGTCCCCCAGAACCCTGGGGCAGTTCTATAACAGCCCCTCTTCCGGGTGGCAAAGGTGGATGAAGCCCCAGGTCTTTGTGTCTGGACAGGAGCGAGGGAGACAGGACCAACATCTCACCAGGATAGGGAAGGGCTGTTGGACTGGGCTGTGTTCACCAGAAGAAGGAACGTCCTGGAGACTGCCTATACCCAGTCATCATGCATTGACCATGGCTGCTCAGGGCCTCAGGCAGGGAGGCCAGGCAGCTGGGGCTGCTGGAGAGCTTGTGGCTTGGGTGGGAGGGCAGAGGAAGGGGCCTTTCCAGGTGCAGACATAGCCAGGTGGTGACCTTTCTGTGTTCCTCAGCCTCAAGGAGCTGGAGTCACAGGTGTCATGTCTGGAGAAGGAGGCCATTGAGCTCAGGGAGGCTGTGGAGCAGCAGAAAGGGAAGAATAATGTGAGTAGGGGCCAGGGTGGGGCAGAGCACAGGACATGGCAGGTGAGGTCCTCTGCTGCCTTCCTACTGTCATTGTTGCTGGGTCCTGGTGTGTGGATGCCACCCCTCCCTCTCTGTGTCCCAGGGCTACCTGCTGTCTGCTGCCACCATGTGCATGGTCACTCCAGCAGGTGACAGACTGCCTGTGCTGTTGCTGCCCTTGTCCTGTGTCGCTCCACCCTCAGACCAGTCCTCCCTGCACAGGCAGCCACTGCCTTCTGCCCCTGTGCCCCAGGCTAGGTGGCACCAGGACCTTATGTTGAGTGCTGCCCAGAAGGGGCTCACTGCAGACTAAGGGGAGGGTAAGGGAAGGGTTGCATCCCTTCCCAGGTCCTTTTTTAGCCCTGGCTGGGCCAGCTTGTGGTCTTGGGAGTGGCTGACCACCCTCTTCACCCTCCAGGACCTCCGGGAGAAGAACTGGAAGGCCATGGAGGCGCTGGCCTTGGCCGAGAGGACCTGTGCAGAGAAGCTGCAAACCCTGACACAGGCCAAGGTGAGAGCCTCGTCTCAGGCCCAGCCGTACCCCTGCCCATCCCCTCGCCCTCCTGCCTCCTCCTGCTCCTCCCCCTTTGTCCCCTCAGGGTGAAGGGAGAATTACACATGCTGGGTTGGGTGGCGGCCTTGTCGGGCCCCAGGGCTGGGGGGGTATAAAGGGGGAGGTGACCGAGTGCTCCCAATGGCCTGCTTTTTCGGGGGTGGTCATCTTGGGGATCTCTGGACAGATGGCTGGGCAGCGAGTGTGAGCAGGGTGTCTGGGCCCCCCTGCATCACCATGCAAAAGCAGCGGCCACCCCAGTGCTTGCCTACTCGCCCACCATTCTCGTCACTGTCTGTCCTCTGTGGAAGACCATTCCTCCCAGCCCTCTCACATAGCAGTGTCTCTCCCTGGCGGCCTGAGGGGACAGCATGAAGACCCTGAGATGGGCAGGACAGAAGGGCTGGGCATGGGCCATGCTGTCAGAGCTGTCATTGCAGCAGTGACCTGAGAGGCCATCTGACCACCATGTGGCAGAGGCTGTGACCAGAGCTGTCACCTGACTTGGCTGTGGTCACATGGGTAGATGAAGACAGAAATTTGATTTGGCTGAGTGGTGGTCACAATGTTGGGGGCCCCAGTGGGTGATAGGGCAGCCAGGAGGACCAGGCCGGCCTGCATGTCAGGCTGGTGTCCCTTGTCAGCTGAGTCCCAAGAGCTGCAACGCTGCACTCCGCACTCAAGTCCCCAGTGACACCCAGGAGTCGGGAGCAGGTGATTGGATTAGGTGACTTTTGGTGTAGGTATAAGTCCCTGTGGCCACCCTACCCTGGTCTATCCCCAGGGGACACTGCAGTGTCCCAGGCTTTGCCTCTGGTCCCTTTTTTGTGCTCTGAGTGGGGCCTACAGGCTCTTCCTGAGGAGGATGGAGGCCCCCCAGCCCTGTGCAGTGGGGGCAACAGGCCCTGTCTTCTCAGAGGCGGTGTCTTCTCTGCTATAAAGGGCTGCTGGTCACCCCTTCTTCTTGTGGTGTGAGCCCCTCTGGGCCCCTCATTCCTATCCTGTCCAGGTCCTGACTGCAGTGCCCCACATTGTCAGTAGCACATGCCAAAGGCCCAGGTTTTGACTGTCCCTCACCCTCGTCCTGCCTGGCCCCACATGCATGCTCTCAAGAGCTGGTGAGCAGGCACAGCCACCCCCTGCCCACAAACCTGGCCTTCAGTTTGGTCCCTGTCGCAGCCTTGAAGAGCTTAAGACACCGCCTCCGGGTGGGAGGCTAAGTGCTGTCCCTTCCCACTCCATAGGAGGACTCAGAGAAGCAGCTCCACCTGACTGAGGCGCAGACCAGGGAGGCCCTGCTGGCCCTGCTCCCGGAACTCTCTGCCTTGGCACACCAGGTAGGTGGGCGGTACCCCGGGGGACCCCGCTCCCCCCCAGGGCACCCCCAGTGTGTGTCCCTGGTCCACCTTGTGTTTCCTTGTAGAGCTATGCCGAGTGGCTGCAGGAGCTCAGAGTGAGGGGCCCCGAGCTGCTGAAGATACCGTCGGAGCCCCCTCAGGTGAGCTGGCTACAGGCAGGGCCTGGGCAGAGCACCCTAGCGAGCTCTGCTGGCCCAGGTAGAGCTCTGGTGGTTCCAGGCAGTGGGGAAAGAGCTGTGTAGGGCTAACCAGCTGCTGTCCACTCCTCGGCCCACAGGACGTGACCTCCAAGCTGCGGGAGGCCGAGGAGGCCCAGAGCACTCTGCAGGCCGAGTGTGACCAGTACCGCGCCATCCTGGCTGAGACGGTGGGCGGCCGGGGCAGTGCGAGGTTCTCTGGGATGCCTTAGAAGAGCTCCTGGCTCAGTGACCCAGGCAGATGGCTTCTCCTGGGGCCCACTGGAAGGAAAGGGACCATGCCAGATAGGGCTCCGAGGTCTCTGTGGTGTCTAAGTGGAGAGGAGGAGAGAAGGCCAGGGTTGGTTGGGGCTGGTCTCTTCCTAGAGGAGACTTGATAGTAAGGAAGACTCACCGGGCAGATAGTGCTGGGCCTATCTGGCCCTGTCTTGGTCATCGACAGAGTCAGTGCTGGTGGCAAAGCCCACAGTCCCAGAATCCTGCTGGCCTTGTCCAGGTTGTGGGCCTCATCTCCCAGAATACCCTACAGTGACCCACACCCGCCTGGCACAGTGGAGTCCCAGCGCTGGCTGGTGCTGGCGGGCAAGGACAGGAGTGTGATAGCAGGGCCGGCTGGGCGAGAGGCCTCACTTCAGTGTCACTGTCCTTGCAGGAGGGCATGCTCAAGGACCTGCAGAAGAGTGTAGAGGAGGAGGAGCAGGTGTGGAAGGCCAAGGTGGGCACCAAGGAGGAGGAACTGCAGAAGGTAGGAGGCCCAGGCACCACGTCTCCGTCACCCATGAGATGTGTGTCACAGCTGTGGTTTTCAGGGACTCTCCAAAATCAGAGTGGCAGCTGAATCCTGTCCCCTGGCCTCCTGTCCCCCACAGCCACCCCAGGAAGGGGCTGCTGGAGGCCACCAATGTGCCTGCCCACCTGGGAGGGGTGGCACTGCCTTGCCATGCACTGGGCTGGTCCCAGGAGCCGTCTCCAGGTTCTGTGTGTGACAGGGTCTTTTCCTTGCTCTGTAGTCCCAGGTCACAGTGAAGCATCTCGAAGACACTATAGAGAAGCTCAAAGGAGAACTTGAAAGCTCAGATCAGGTATGCAGGGCCTGTGTTGAGAGCTGCTGTTCTTGTCCCATGAGTCTCTGAAAGTGATGTTGTTATGAAGCCACCTGAGTTATTTTCCCCTCAGGACCCTGCTGTAAGAAGGGGTGCCCCCCAGCTGCAGGATCTGTGCTGTTTTGCTGGACTGTGTGCCACTCGCCAGTGCCGTGGCCCGGGACAGAGCAGGCCTATGCAGACTCCCCAGCCTTGGCCTTGGGAACAGGGATGTGCTCAGGCTCCTGTTGTTTTTCCTCATGTCACAGCGACAGGGACTCTTGCTCCTCCCTTGGCATATTCCCCTAGGGGCTGCCCTCTGCCGGGCTGAGGCCGGAAGACTCAGTGGGCCCCAGGATTCTGCAGTGCTGGGAAAGGTTTCCTGCTGGCCCCCTGGGGTCAGTCCTCTCCTGCCAGCTGGCCTGAGGCCCTGTCTCATGTCCTGCAGGTGCGGAAGCACACCTTGCACTTGGAGGCAGAGCTGGAGAAGCACATGGCTGCCGCCAGCGCCGAGTGCCAGAGCTACGCCAAGGAGGTGGCAGGGGTGAGGCCATCCGCCCCAGTGGCCCTTGCCCAGCAGGTCTGAGTCTGCGGGAGCAGCTGTCCTGAGCCCTACTTGTGGATTTCAGGCCGTGGCCCCGCAGACACTGCCACACTCCTACTTGTGTCCCTCGGCAGGGGATGCTGCCCAGCTTGCTAGTGCCGTAAAATCCAGTCCTGTCCACACCTCTCCTCGTTTAGTTTCTAGCTTTGGGCTTTTTTATAAGACGTGGTGCGCAAGTGTCTGGGGAGGCCTGAGGTGGGTGTGCAGCAGCCTGGTCCTTCCCTGTCCCCAGAACAGGCTCTGAGGCAGTAGGAAGCCACCTGTCTGGTGTTGGGGGCATGTGCCTGTGTGAGGCTTTGTCAGTGCTCACCCTGGGCCTGCTTTCTCCTCCTCTCTCCTTTGTACTCAGCTGAGGCAGCTGCTGTTAGATTCTCAATCTCAGCTAGACGCAACGAAGAGTGAAGCCCAGAAGCAGAGCCAAGAGCTCGCCCTGGTAGGTGGGCTGGGTGGTGGGCAGGGGTATGGCTGGTGCTGTACTGTTCACATGTGTGTGTGGAGCATGTTGGCCAGTCAAGTTCTAACATCCACTCAGAAGATCCAGCAACTCAGCAGAGGGGGGAGTGTTCGTCCCAGAACTCTGAGCTGGCTGGGCCTGTGGCTGCTGGGAGCACAGTCCCCACATCCCGTCCCTGTCCCTAGCAGCCTGGTCCCTGCTCTAGGCAGCAAGAGCACTGGGGCTCTCTGTGAGCGTCAGCAGTGCAGGAGACCAGGCGCTGAGGTTTCTCCTGGCCCTGCCCTGTGGCTCTTGCCGAGTCCTTGCCTGCCTCGATGCTGGGTGACAGCTCAGATCCCACCAGCGGACCCAGTGCACTGGTGCGAGGCTGAGCTGCTCACACATGAGGAGCTCACTGCCCACTTGCCTGGGCCTGCCTGGAGTCCTAGATGCCAGAGGCTTGGCCAGCTCAGTCCCCGCCACACTCAGTGCCTGCCAGGGCTAGGCTGAGAATCTTAGAAGTGAGAGGTTTGGATTAAAACCTGCAGCTCTGGATTCTGGGAAGCAATAGTCCAGTCTGCCAGGCCCCTGCACCAAGGGCAGGTGTCACCCAGGGTGTCCTGAGTCTGGTGACAGGTTTGTGTGTGGGGGGGGTGCAGCTGCTCCCAGGGCTTCTCACCACCCTCAGTGGTGCAGTGTGGCTTTGCCATTGGTGGGGACTGTGGGGAAAGAAGGCTGTCGTCCCCCCAGGAGTAGGCCTCAAGTGGAATCTGAGGCCACTGTGCCCCCTGGAGCTCATGCCTGGCCCCACTGGGTTTCCTAAGCTTGCCCCAGCTCCTGGGTGACACCACTGCCCTTAGTTTGGGGGCCCAGTGGTGTGGGGCCCTCAGGGCCTGTGAGGCAGGACAGTCACCTCCTAATCAACCCTGGATGCCAAGAAGGGTCCCAGCAGCGGGCTGCATATTCAGAAAAGGATGGGCTGTCCTCTAATCTTCGTACGCTGCCATCAGGGTCGCCTTGCTCTAGGGATGGGTCCTGTCTACATGAAGTGGAGCACATGGGTCTCACCAGGCCAGGGCTCTGGCGATGCGTGGTGCACCTGCACTCTCAGAGCTGGGAGGACTGGGGCCCCGCTCTGGATTCGCACAAACCTGCTCCTCCCTGTTTCAGGTCAGGCGGCAGTTGAGTGAGATGAAGAGCCATGTAGCAGATGGTGATGTGGCTGGATCCCCAGGAGTCCCCTCAGCCAAGCAGGACCCTGTGAAGGTTAGGGTGCGCCTGGGCCTCAGACCTGTCACTGACCCCCAGGCGGACTCAGGTGGAGCACAGCCCCTAGCCATGGGTGAGGAGGACACAGTGCTGAGCCAGGACAGGCATCCAGGCTGGGAGCAGCACAGGAGAGCACTTGTGTCTGTGTGGCCATCCCTGGGACAGTGCTAGCAATGCACCTGCTCTCTGGAGCTTTGAGCAAACCCTTGCCAGGAGCCCAGGGGCTGTCACCAGGGTCTACACTTGGGCCTGGCCCTGCCTGGCAGCTCCCTGGACCACTGTGCCTCATGGGTGCAGCAAAGGCCCTGAGGTCACAGAGGTTGCTTCAGCACCTCCCTGTGAGCTACCTGCTCCCTGTGTGGGTGAGGAAAGCAGGGCAAGAAGCAGCTAGGAGGTGGCCCGCAGCTCCAGTCTGTCCCAGGCCCTGCAGGGTCCCTTGCCAGGTGCCCATGTCATATGTGCGGTGTCCCCACACAGCTGCAAGCACAGCTGGAGCGGATGGAGCTCGCCCTGGAGGAGGAGCAGGTGCAGCGGCAGAAGCTCACAGCTGAGTTTCAGGAGGTCAGGCCCTGCCCAGCAGCCCTGGGAACTCCTTGGTTTTGGGTTCTGTGTCCCAGGGGTGGGTCCCCTGCACAGCCAGGTGGTCTGGGTGGTCTTGGGGCTCCCAGCCCAGATCAGGCTTGCGGGGTCTGACAACCTGCCACCCTGCAGGCACGGAGCACGGTGTGCCAACTACAGGAAGAGCTGGAGATGCTGCGTGCCACTGGCCCCCCGGCATCTCTGGGCACTGAGGAGGTTGCACAGCTGAAGGTAGAGCAGGCTGGGCTTCACTGCAAGGCTGTGACCACTTGGCCCCACAAGCCTCTGGGAAAAGGAGAGCAGACCAGCCAGGCTCCTGTTTCCCTGGCACCCCTGTGGGAGGGACCATCGACCCCCAGCAGTAGCTGATCACCAAGTTACTGTAAGCACTGGGCAGCTACACATGGGCAGTGCAGAGCAGGGCACTCCTGCCAACTTGGTTAGCAGTCACGTGGACAGATGACAGGACATGTTACTGGCACATGGCACCTTGCCAGCAGCTGTCTGAGCAAGGAGTTAGCACCTGGGGGCATAGGTGGGGACCACAGGGTCACATGGGGTCTGAATTGTCGCAACCCTCTGACATGCAGGAGAGACTAGAGAAAGAGAAGAAGTTAACAAGTGACCTGGGTCGTGCCGCCAGCAAACTGCAGGAGCTTCTGAAGACCACCCAGGAGCAGCTGGCAGAGGAGAAGGACAAGGTGAAGCAGCTGCAAGAACAGCTGGAAAAAGTGGTGAGTGTCCATCCTCATTGGGCCTGGGCGAGTGAGCAGTGGGGACGGACGGTTATCGGGGGCATCAGCCTGGCTCCCTACAGCACTGCAGCCTATGTGGCCCCTCTGTTCCTGGCCCCAGGTCTCTGGACAGCTGGCCTCACTTTCTTTCAAGTGCAGATGGCTGGGGGTCCCTGCAAGGGGGACCGTGGGTCCCAGCGTGGGCACTACTGTACCTGCCCTGTGCCAGGTGGCCACTCACACGCCCCATCCTCTGCAGGAGGATGGCAGTGGTCCGAAAGAGGGCACCTCCGTCTGAGCCTCCGTGGAGAGAAGTTACTGTTCCTCTTACCAAAATGCCTTACACATTCCTCACAAATAAACCAACGACACAGAGTTCCCAGGCCCAACTTCTAGAGGCTCCAAGAGAAGCCATTGGAGACGATCATCTTCCAGACGCCGCTGCACAAGAACCTGTCACATTTGGAAAACACTATTCCCAGAGTGGCCCAGCAGCCTCCACAGATGCCAGAGTGCCTGTGACCTGACACATGGGCCTGGGTGCACGGGGAGGCCGGGATGTGGGTCGACGCCAGCCAGTGCAATTGTCGAGTTTCTCCTCAGTGGGGTGGGGGTGGGACAAGGCCAGATGGGGGTGGGGAGTTCGGGGACCCTTGGAAGCCAGAGCCCAGCCCCTCAAGGCCACAGCCCTCCCCCCTGAGTCACCACATGGAACTGTGTGTGACCTCCTGGATGTTGATGCCATTAAACCAACGTGTTGCCCGGCGCTGAGTCTCATGTCTCCTGCTGGGGCTGCCTAGCATAGCGCAGGTCTGGGTTTCTCAGCAGGTAGAGGGCCTGAGGCATCCTGATGCCCAAGCATCTGTTACTTAGCAGGCTCCGGTATCCACCAGGCAGTGGAAGCAGGACCTGTGACACTGAGCCCTGACTCAGGTCCTGCGAGCAGAGCTGGGGTGGCCCAGGTGGTGGAAGGCAGGGAACTCTGGGAGAACAAGGGTCACTATCCTATGCCCAGGATTAGTGAGACCCAGGGCCGGGTCTCCTATTCCACCTCACTGGCAAAAGCCAGCTCAGACTTTGCGACGTGGGACCGAGAGTTCTTGGTGGCTTGAGACAGTGTGGTCCACGGAGACATTGGCCCTGAGGTGGTGCTGCTTCTCCAAGTGACAGCCCAGAAGAGATTGGAACAGCTGCAGGACACAGTGCCTCGTGTCCAGCAGGCGGTGCCCAGGAGCTGCTTGAGCAAATGTTGGTCCACATCCCTATCCAGACTCTAGGTGTTGGGCAGTTTGATAGGCCATACTAGGCTGGGGGGTAGCTGGCACCTAGGTGGCAGCTCCTGGAAGATAGCAGCCTAAGGGGCAGCTGGGCAGTGTGGGGAGGTTAGGCTGTGGGATGTCGAGTGACTCCTGGGGGGGGGGGGCTATCACAGGCCCTTGGAAGCTATACGTGTGCTCCCCTGCCACTACAGCCTCTGCATCTGGGGCCCCTATATAGTCACTGAGCTACCTGTGTGGCATAGGTGCCAGGTACCTGGAGCAGCTCCCAGGTAAGGTGAGCTCACAGGAAGATGAGGCATGGGCGGGGGGCAGGGAGGGGATGGGACCAGGTGAGGGCAATAGTCACCTGTAGAACTCACTCAAGGGAGACCATGGGTCATGAGACATTGATGTTGTGGTCTTGTAGAAGGATGAGGCCACAGTGCTGGCCCGGGCCCTCTGTGGAAATTAGTGACTCACCTGGAGGCCACAGGGCTCAGTCTGTCAGCCTGGGCAGTCAGTTGGGGGAGGAGCTTGATCCCAGAGACCCGAAGCCAGAGGACAGTTCTGGGGAAGGTGGGATGCCGGGGGCAGGACTCCTGTGCACACAGTGGCTGCACCCAAGGTCTGGTCCAGGGTGGTGGACAGTGGGGAGGGGACACCAGGACTCAATCATTACCCAAGCCTGGGGTCTGCACTGCAGCAGAAAGCACAACCAGTGCTGGGAAAGCCCGCTGGAGGCACAGGAGTTGGGGGTCACCAAGTTGCTGGATTTGGTAGAAGCAGTGGCCTGGAGAGGGTGATGCCGGGTCCCCAGGACAAGGCCACTCCGGGCTTCCTCCCACAGCAGAGCTCCACTGGCCATGGTCTCTGCTGCCCAGCAGTCCTGGAGCCCAGTGAGGCATCTGGGCCAGCAGAGGGAGCCCAGGTTTGCCAGTCAGACTGTGGGCCTCACCCTAGCCAGGCCTGGCCTGGCACTGGCTGTGGCTGCTCAGGAAGACATGGAGGCCGACATCTTGCACAGGCCACTTTCGAGAGGCCAAGAGTTGCCCCATAGCCCCCCTCATCTTGTTCCTCATTGTGGTACAGACACCATGGGGTTGGGCTAGCCAGCCAGGCCACTCTGAGCTCTCCCTGCAAAACCCGGAGGGAGCGGCCCTAGAGCCCTGGCTATTGTGATCACTTGGGATGAGGCCCAGCTCACTGCTGACAGTCACACAGTGGTTTCCTGAGCCGGAGGGTGCTGGGAGGCTCCAGGGTGAGCATCCTCTGTTCATGTCCATGTGGTACTCACTGAAAGGCACAGGACAGGACACTGGCTTGCGAGTGGCCCTCACAGCCTGGGAGAGGACAGGGACGCCAGTAAGGCTGTGGGCAATATTGGGTTGGACAGGGCTGTAGCCTGATGACTCCCCCAGCTCCTTGTTGTTGCTCAGGCTAGCAGTTCTTCTATCCCTGAAGTGGCGCACATGGTACTGAGCGCTGACCTCCAAATTCCAGATGTTAGACTCAAACCTGAACCATCTAGAGGTGGCGAGAACTGCTCAGAACCCTGTCTTTGTCCAGTTCCGCCACTTGTAAACTAAGTGACCTGACTGGCCAAGTTCCTTTAACAGTCCTTCAAGGCCACTCTGCCGGTCAGGCTGAGCCTGGCTCCCACCTAGGCCGCCCCCAACCCACAAGGCAGGAGACCTGAGCTCAGTACCTGGTCCACGCCCACCTCCAGGCGTGCACAGAGCCACAACCTGTCCACAGGCTCGTTTCCATAATGCGCCAGCCTGTAAGGGTGTTGAAGTGCCCTGGAAGTGGGGTGGACCTGGACCTTTTTGGTCCACAACTTCATGCTGCTCAGGTCACCAGGAGGTTGGCAACAGTGTCTGGGCCCCCAGCCCCTGCCAGTATCCACGCAGAGAACTGAAAGTAACCTCCGGCACCCACTACTTTTGCAGGAAAAGGGGTGTGGGAGATGCTGACTTTGTGTTACCTCCCTGAATGCTGCACAGAAGCCCCCCAGCCAAGCGCCTGCACTCAGCCCACAGCGCCTCCTGAGGGACACGGCCTGAGGCGGCGGCAGGGGAGCAGGGCAGCCTGGCCAGATGCTTCCCTGGGGCCTGTTTACACACATCACAGAGCAGTGTTCAGTTCCAGATGGGAGAATGGCAGGCAGCCAGCACTTTTCCAGCCAGTCTTTTTTTTTTTTTGTACCGGGGATTGAACTTGGGTCCTTGCGCTTAGCAAGTCTTGAAAGATATTTTGATGAAAGCATGACCTTTTTTGCCTCCCAAAGCCTAGCCTTGCATTAAACACTACTAAGAAAAAGGTTCCCAACTTTTATACCAGCTTCCTCTTTCAATCAGAGAAGGTAGAAGCTGAGTCACCCATGCGAAACCCCAGAATCCCCTTGTGGAAGGTAAAACCCTCCATCCCCAACTCACATGTGAATGATGACACCAGAGAAGTTAAAAATGCTTCCTTTATTACATAAAGCCAGTAACTGCTACTTCTAAGACTGTGCATTTCTCTTGTTCAAATGTCATGCCTGTGGTGTTAAGGACAATCACATCTGCGTGTCACTAGGTACCAGCTCCCCACTCCACACAAGTGACACACTGCTCTAGGAAACAAAGTTCTCCTAGGCCCTGGAAGAAACACTCAAGTGTTCTTGCCATCATATCATACGGGGTGCTGCAGCTCTGAAGGAGACGCAGGTGTGAGATGTCCTAGCCTACCTAGATACTGCCGATGAGCATTTTCATTAGAAAGCAGAGTACAGTTCCTGAGCGCTAATTTGCATTAGAATTAGTCCCCATCTTCTGAAGCCACACCACAATTCCCAAGATACAAGGTGAGAGCCTGCAGCCCCAGGTGCGGGGACAGCTGTGCCACTCGAGGCAGGCTTTGCAAGATCAGGGTGAGTCACAGTAGATGCGACTTCTGGGAGAACTAAAGGCTGCCTGAGACTCACTGCTGCTAGTGGGTTAGTGTGGGTACACGTTAGGGAGGACAACCCATTCTGTGTGGGTCAAGGAAGAATAATTCTGGGCCAAAATTATAACCAGATTGTAATCAATTTTCGAAACAAAAGAAAGTAACTGCTGAGGTTAATGAAAGACAGAATGATTCTCTTCATATGGCCTCTATATCTATACTGTTTTGTGAACTGTTATTAAAAATCCTGAGCTTTATTAAAAATCCTGAGCTTTAACAAAAATCTTTGTAAGTCAACTCATCAAAACAGGCATTTGGCCAGTAAGAATTTCATTTCACACCAATTACACTTTGGATGCTAGGTTTATTTAGGGCCGCGTTTGCACAGGTTTATAGAATATTTACTCTCAAAGATGACAAGACAGCTCCCTCAGTGAGACCCTGGCATAAATGCATCTGCTTTACTTATGGAGCAAGAGGGTAACATTAAACACAGAAGCTTTCGGCTGTGGCACTGGAACGACACTACACGGGGCACCCTTCGAAGGCTACAATCAAGGACCCACCCAGCTTTTCGGCAATACAAGCTCGGTTGAGGTCTTCCGGCCCATTTGCTTGACATTCGTGTTTGATGCCTGGAAAGGAAAAACAATTCTATTTAAAATTATGGCAGCAGCTTATCTATTTCTTTACAGTACTATGTTTTTAAAGCTCATGTCTATAAACAGTGTTATTTACAACCGTTGCAATACTACACAGAAATGAGAAATATTAATTGGTAACTCCATGCATCAAACTAGATGCTGCTCACAAACACAATGCTGGCTGCAGCAAGTCAGAAAGAGAAGCATCTATTCTTTTTTTGTTTTGGTTTTGGTACAGGGGATCAAACTCAGGCCCTTGTGCTTGCAAGGCAGGCAGTGGCACCAATGAGCTAAATCCCCAGCCGGAGAAGCAACTATTCTTTACACACGCACGCCCTTGGCTGGTTAGAAGCTCCTGGGGAGCAGTGGCAAGAGCAGGGCCCCAGGGGGTGCCACTATGATGCTCGGGCTCAAAACATTCAGGGAGCACTCATAATTTATGAGGTATGCTTTTGTAAAGACATGTTATACTTCAATTTAAAAAAAAAAAATCAAAAGGCAGGTTCTAGTAATAACTTTTCCCTGGTTTGTTATGGGCCAGCTGGTTTTGTCAACTGCACCATAAAGTAAATAATCACCAGGAGCATCGCTGTGCCACAGACACAGCCAGCTCTCCAGTGCAGGAACGCCACACATATAAGAGCCGTCACAGAACTGCAGTGTGGCACTGGTGGCTCTCGCATGAGGACCATTTCTCCAGTTCACAGAGAATACAGTGGGCCGGCTCCCAACCCCAGGACTAATGGGGAAGCCGGGATGGTTTCATCAGAGAACGGGTGACAAGGTGACTGTCACTCAACATCACCAGTCTACTCAGCCATCCCCTTGAGTGAGGGCACTGCAAGGTGAAGACAATGAGGAATCTGGTGTGAGTTGGTACCACTGTCAAAGTGCTGACACTCAGGGGTGATTTGAAACGTTGGGGACACACAAGTGACCTTGATTCTGGGTATGCCCTCTTATCACCCCCCACACAGCTGAGCAGGCACGGAACCATGCTGGGAGAAGTGAGAATGAGGCACAGAGACTCAACTGGCCCTGTTCCCCATGACCCTGGCTGCAAAGGCAGCTGGCAGCACACACTCAGTCCATGCCTCCCACTCAAGGGCAAAGGTCACAGCAGTTAAGACAAGCTGGGTCTGCAGAGCAGGCCTCTAAACTAATGCCTCATGCTCGGCTGACCATACCAAGGCTTCCTTCTGGCTGGGCCCAGGCCCAGCCCCACCATCCTGTTGGGACCACAGTCTCTGGCAGCAAGGCGGTGTGACTGGCCAGCTTGGGCCACGTGACCTTTCAGCACAGATGAATCAATGACCTAAAACTGCACCATCCATGGTGAAGATGGAAGGCAGCGCATCCTTCCTGTTCATGAATGCCTACTTCTTGCAACCTGGTTCTATTACTACATTCAAAGGCATCGGCACAGTGACACTAGCCTGGCCACAGAGGCCCCAGGCTTTCCCTGCTACAGGGGACGCTGGTCTGAACCAGTCAGAGCAGGTGAGGGACAGGCAGCCCAGGGGACTGGGCTTTAAGGCCGCCCTGCTGCACAATCTCTGTGGCTGAGGTGGAGGACTTCTGAGTAGTGGCTCAGCCTTGGGATCTCCCTCAGAACAAGCATGGCTTTTCTCTTTCTACTCAAAGCTGCTCTCCCAGGAAAATGGAGGTGCTTCAGGGGTCCCCACATCCCTAAGGTCCAAGTCCCGCACATACCTTGGAACTTCTTTTTGATCGCATCCTTAGAGCTGGCGTAGATCATCTTACTCTTCAGAGGGGCCAGTTCTGGGGCCCTGGACAGAAGGATGCCAAGAATGAGCAAACCAGCTAAGAAAGGACAACTTGAATATCTTGTGAGAAGAGAAAATCTGCTCCGTGCTGGAGAGGGGCCTCAGCGTCTGGACAGCATGTCTGTCCCCCCTCCTCAGACAGCAAGGGCTATGGGTGCTGCAAGACTTGCTCAAGCTGAGCAAGGGAAAAAGGAGTGCCGGCAAGGGAGAGGAGAGAGCCACTGATTAAACATCAGATCAATGTGGCCAGGTGTGTGGCACATGCCTAAAGGCCTGGCAGTGCGGGAAGCTGAGGCAGGAATGAATCTCAACTTCAAGTCTTACCTAGCAACTTACCAAGACCCTGTCTTAAAATAAAAAGGAGCTAGGGATGTAGCTCACTGTGAAGGTCCTGGGTTCAATCCCCTGCACTGCCAAAAAAGGAAAAAAGTCCAATGAAAGACTTCTGAGCATTTGCTGATTCAATTTAGCTATCGTATTTCCAGGACTCTAATGTACAGTCCTTGCTGTGCCAACCACTGCCAAAAACGGCTGGTCTGTCTCTCATGTTTACTCCTCCAGGTGGGAGGCAGAGCCCTAAAGCCTCTTGACTTCTCCGGTGCATCGAGTGCTGTAAACCATAAGATGCACACAGCCTGCCTCTTGCCCTTCCCCCACCAAAATACTACATCAATTACTAAAAGCCATGTTCTTTGAAGTAGACAAAGTATGGTTCAAATTGTATTTTGGCCCAGTGAAGGCCTCATGAAGCCTTGTAAACAAGAATTAAGTAATGAGAACTACAAATAGCTTGACTAAAAAAATCACTCTAGTCCTGGAACCGGTTCTCCAGGTGCTGACAGTACTGACATTTACAGAGAGCCGGTGTCGTGGCTTGTGTCAAGATGTCCCCCCCAAAGCCTCAAGCAGTCATAGATGGGGCTTTTCAGAGGTGGATGGATCTAGGGTATGTGATGCTGAGATTAAGGGTGCTCTGCCCTGGGTGTGAGTGCTAGCCACCCAAGGGGAGGTAGCCTGAATGGAATATAAGGAACAGAAAGAGGCTGCTTTGTTGCCTCCTGCCTGCTCTGCTTTGCTATGAACTGTTTGTTTCTCCTTTGTGTTGCCCTCTGCCATGCCACCCTGCCCTGGAGCCAGCTGACTACAGACTGAAATTATTATAGACAGCTAAGTTAGGTAGAAATATTACAGGCAGTCAGACAGGGCTAGGCTCTCAAGGGAGTCAGTCCGGAGGATGAGAACACATTACAATTGTGGCTGGAGGCGCATCTGTTGAAGGCCAGGCCTCAAGAAAAAGACAGAATGAGGGGCCGGGGATTTAGCTCAGTGGTTTCGCCGCCTGCTGGACAAGCGCAAGGACCAGAGTTCGATCCCCGGTACCAAAAAAAAGAAAGAAAGAAAAAGATGGAATGAGCAAGCCTATATGCCTCCCCAGCAGATAAGATAATTGGTATCACTCGGTCCAATAAAGTTTAGATAGACATCAGCCACCCAGGTGGGTGACCAGAACCTCCTGATCTATCCCTTCCTAAAAAGATTTTTGTTCTTTCTATGTATACTTGGTATGTGACTGTTACAGGTTGTATCTAAATGTCCCACCCAAAGTCTCATGTAGTCAGTCATAGGCGGGGCTTTTTCAGAGGTGGCTGGATCTAGAGTGTGTGATGCTGGGACTGATTCTGATGGTATGCTGGGATCAAGGACACCGGGATTAAGGGTGTGAGTGCTACTTGCCCTAAGTAGCCTGGATAAAATGTAAGGGATAGAAAGAACTGTGGTCCTCTCTTGCTGCTTTACTACCTTCTGCCCCATGAATTGTTTCTCCTCTGCGATGCCTGTCTGCCATCCACCCGGCCTTGGAGCCAGCTGATTACAGACTAAAACCTCTACAAACTGTGAGCTAAATAAACTTTCCCTCCTTTAACTTTGGGTGTCAGGTATTTTGTCTCAGCAACAAGAAAAGTAACTAAAGGGGAGCTAAATAAACCTTTCCTCTCTTTACTTTGGGTGTCAGGTATTTTGTCTCAGCAACAAGAAAAGTAACTAAGACTGACCTGCTTCCCTACTGGATCAATATTACCTCTGCAGCTATACTTGTAGTCTTACTGGTTGATCACAGTTTTGACCCATGTTGTATCCACCTCATGATTTTGTACCCACCTCGTGATTTTGCTCTATAAAACTTCCTCTGTGAAGTAGGGTCTGCAGCAACCCATTTTTGGGTCCCCTCCTGTCTCTCATCAGGACCTATCTCTCTCAACAAACTGTTCCTACCCTTAATTTCCATTTTTCCTTAGAATTCATTTTTTGATTTTGGGGAACACAAACTCGGTGTATCCGAAATCTATCAGGTTGGGAGTTACATTATTTCCCCTGTAGCAAAACCTCTACAAAGAGCTAAATAAGCCTCTCCTCCTTTAACTCTGCGTGTGGGATTATTCTGTCTCAGCAATGAACAAAGTAAGATGCTAGCTGTTCCTCACATGCTTACCACAAAAAGAACATCAGCTCTTCTTTCCTGGACTCCTTGGTCTCGAAGCTTGCATCATACAAGGCATAGCGACAATCCTTTTCAGGAAGCATCCCCACAAAATGCTTGAAGGGATCAGTGATGGTCACACCCACATCTCCAACTAGGATCTCTTTGCCTTCTTCAACAATGATGCACTTTTTGTCTGCACTGAGACAAAAAATGACAGCCTTCTTTCTTTTTTTAATTTCCTCAGGTGTGGAGCATTTCCGAACTTTCATGTCATAAAAAATGCGACATACTTCATCAGCAACTTGCACTCCCGAGGCCTACAGTGAGGAAAACAATGAGAAAGAGGCTTACAATTTGTTTCATGTCAAATACACATGCTATTTGATTTCTAATGACAGGCTGGCATATAAATCTTTTAAGGTGTATTTCTCATCCAGTAAGAAAGCTGAAAAAGATTCAAGTGCAATCACTAATGATTTCAGACATGGAACTTCATGTGAAACTTACACTGTCTAAGCCTCCATCACCACCTTGTGGTGTGACGGGAGCCTCACCCACCAGCTCTGCAGCCTGAAACTTGAAAGAAGCACTCTTAAAACGCTGCTCATGTTCTTAGACAGCGTTCTCAGAGGCCAGGCTGGAGTCCACTGTCTTCCCTATTTGTGTACCAGGGTCAGTGATGCTGAAAATTCCTTTCACAACACACAGTAGATGGTTGGAGATGCTAAGTTAAAATACAATCCCATTCCTATAGCATCTCTTTTTCTAATAAGAGAACTATTTGTAAAGATCTTCATTCTTCTTATATTTTTAAATGACAATAAATATTTAGCAATGTATCAGTACTTGCTATTAAAATTCCACTTAGGTGGGCTGGGGACTTAGCTCAGTGGCACAAGGTCCTAAGTTTGATCCCCAGTAATGCGGGGGGGGGGGCACTTAGGGCTGAGGTATAGCTTGTCAGAGGATTTGCCTGGTGTGCCCAAGGCTGTGTGTGGTTCAATACCCAGCACCACCCCCTCCCCCGACTCACTTATACTACCTCTAAGTTTTAAATTAACATTAGAATAAATATGAAAATATTTACTGCTGATAACAAAAAGGGTACCTTAATATGGGACTATACTAACCGGAAAAATAACCTTTTACCAAGTTACACTTGCTATTCTGGGATGAATAGTTAAGCAAGATCTTGATGGCAAAAGATCTTAAAACCAGTTTTTAATCTTTCCACCTTCTTTATAGAGTATGCTATTTACATTACCTTTAGTTTATCAGAATTTTTATACTTCATTAAATGCTTTCATTCACTTGTTAGCTTTTCTAAAGCCAGAATTACAAAAAATTTAAATACTAAACAATGTAAAAATATTGACACACAAGATTAATGTCAAATAATTTAAGAAATAAAGATGCATGTATAATGAAGACAACTCAGAATGTATTTAGAAATCAATATAAGGAACCTGTAGTCAAAATATATACAGAACCATTACAACTCAATAATAGAAAAAAAGATAATAATAATAGAAAAATAGATATTTGTATCCCTAAATAAAAAATAATCAACAGTTCTGCACAGATATTTCTCCAAAGAAGATATGGAAAAAATACTCAACACCAACAGTCATTAGGGAAATACAAATCAAAGCCACAGGGAAAACCCACTTCACTACTAGGCTGGCTTAAGAGGACAATAGCAGATGTTGGCAAGGCTGTGGAGACTCTGTGACCCTTGCAGCACAGAGCTGTAAAGAGGCAGCTGGGCAATTCCTTAAAAAGCTAAACTTTAAACTATCTAAGAATTCCACTCCCAGGTCTGTAACTAGAGGATGGAAATGTGTTCACACAACTGTACACGAATGTTCACAGCAACATTATTAATAACAGATCCAAATGGAAACAGCCCTTGTGCTCTCTCTCTAATGAAGAGACTTCAAATGTGTAGTGTTTCCATACAATGGTTTTTGGGGTTTTTGTTTTTCTTGGTACCTGGGATCAAACTCCCGACCTTGTGCTTGTGAGTCAGGCAGCGGCACCACTGAGCTAAATCCCCTGGCCCTTATCCATACAATGGATTACTGCTGGGCCATTAAAAAATGAAGACCTGATTCAGGCTGCAACATAATGACCCCACTGACACTAAATGGGAGAAGCCAGACAGAAAGGCTACACGCTGCCTCAGTCTATTTCTATGCAATGTCCCCAAAAGGCAAATCCACAGACAGAAAACAGAGCAGGGTTTTCTGTGGGCTGACAGGGAAGAAATAAGGAGGAACTGCTAATGGGCATTTTTTTTTTTTTGAGTGACTGAAATGTTCTGGCATGTGGTGGGATGATAAATATATAACTCTTGAATATACTGAAAAACCATGGAATTCTGCTTTTTAGTATGTGAATTACAGCCCAATAAAGCTGTTACTTTTAAATGGGGGGCAGGGTGCAGCTCAGTTGGCAGAGTGACTGCCCAACATGCACAAAGCCCTGGTTAGATGCCCAGCAGTACAGATACAAAGCCAACCCCCCCCCCAAAATTAGAATCTGGGGTGGAGGGGCTGGAGAGAATATGTTAAGATCCTACCATTTACTTAATGTTAGGGTAATCAGGCCATTTAATCATCTCATTCACTAAAAGATCTCTAAATATATTTCAATCTAATTTAATCCAGATATAATCATATCTATTTCTATCTAATTGAATCCACATTTTCTGTTTATAAATGACTATAATGAAGTAGTAGATTCAGAAAATTAAGACTAGGAAATGGCAAAAAATACCCAATCTTATTACATTGCTATTACAGTGTTTTCCTTAAGTCTTTCACTGCTTTAGGAGTAGTAGTTTTCTAATCTTTACAATTTATCTATGTTGCCAGGCCTGGTGGCACATGCTTATAATCCCAGCACTCCAGAGCCTGAGGCAGGAAGATCACTGGAAGGTTGGCTACATAGTGAGTTCAAGGCCAGCCTGAACTACGTAAGGACCCTGTCTCAAAAAAAAAAATCTATGTTAAGCAAATTAAGAATGGCTAATTTTCCAATAAAAATGAGTGAAATGCTCCATAACAGAAGAAATCAGACCCTAATTCCTCTAGCTCCTTAGTCTATAATGTTTACAGTATTTCTAAGTCACACTTGACTCAACAACCAATTTTCTGAAGGCAACATCTGAAGTCTTGTGTTTAATCAATCAATATTTGAATATATCTGTCACTATGTAAGTACCTCAAACACTATAAATTCTGATTTAGAAATTAAACTAGTAATGTGCTAGTAACAGAAAACAAAGTAAATATGAATCCTGCAGTTGCACCACACTAACCGCACACATTTCTTTTCTTTTTTTTTGGTACCAGGGATTGAACTCAGGTCCTTGCGCTTGCAAGGTAGGCGGTGGAACCACTGAGCTAAATCCCCAGCCCTAACCCCACACATTTAAATCTAGTCGTCACACAGGCACACTGCTCAGCCTCCAAGGGCTCTGGGATCTAATCCAGCCTCTGTGGTTTCTGATGAGAAGGACCCCGAAGACTTGCACTTGAGGAAATCAACACCAAAGACTGGAGAGGAGAAACTGGAAGCGCTGAACTACAGAAATGAGACTGAAAACAAAAAAAAAATCCAAAGGCATATCAAAGTAAAACCAATACACCTGATCGAGAGAGGAGCCAGCTGAGTGAGATGCCCAAAAGTGATTCCGAATGCTGCTGATATCAAACTTGGAGACAGAAGTCAGTCCAGTCTCCTCTGTAGTGGGACAACCTCCAGAAGAGAGGAGCAGTGGGCATGGAGCCACAACAAGGAGCTTCACAACAAAGCTGTCGACATTACAGAACACAACTGCAAGCAGCCAAAAACCAACTGAGAAGACTAAGGAAAAGAAGGGAAATAACAGTATCATAGAAGCCAAGGGGAAGAATGAGGAAGGGAAGTAACCAAGCCCTGCAGAACTGGAAGAATGAATGACCAATAGGAGACCTCTGGACCTGGCAACTGGGCTGAGCCCCTGAGCAGATGAGGGAACAGGGTCCAAGTCCAGGGCCACAGCCAGTGACCCAGGCACTGAACAGGCAAAGACAACATGCAGCATGGCTAATGGGGATGAGAATAGGGAAGGGTAAATCCAATTCTTGAATTCTGCTGTAAATGCAGAGACTTGCCTGTGCCACACGTTTTATAGCCAAACACTGAAAACCCTTTAATACTCAGAACATTTCTGGGGTGAAGGCAGAGCAGGCAGAGCCTCAAGTGTAGGGACATTTGGGGGGACAGCGCAGAAGCTGCCTTAGAGCACAGCAGAACAAAAAGACTGGAAGGAGATGAAGAGCCAGCTCGACCAGGAGTCATGGTCAGGAGAAAAAGGCCTTCCCTAGTGGCAGGCTTGGAGTGTGCAGATGAGGACTAATTTAAAAAGTAGAACGACCAGAGCTGTGCCTTTGGAAAGTACAGGAAGTCAGGCACAGGAGTAGAGCAGAGCAGCAGCTAGAGCTAATTCAGCAGTGAGGGAGAGGAGACAGAGGCTCCCTGGGCAGTGCACTGAGGAGGAGGTGCCCAGCCAGCACTGGAACAATCAGGTGTCCCTACAATCACTTCACCCAGGACAGGAAGGAGGGGTCAGGGTGGTAAGCAGGAGGCTGATGCCAGGCGCTAACCCTTGCCCTGGGCAGTGGAGTAGCATGGTTCTTCATGACCAGTAATACAGGATTCTACACTCAACCTGTGAAAACAGTCAAGAGCCCTGAGGAGAAGCATACGTTAGTTGACAAGTATTCCTAAAAAAGCACCGTACAGTCTGGAAACGACAGTGACATGGAAGAAGTGAGGGTTCTTTGATGCAGCCACACTGAAGCCAGGCCAGGAGACTGAGCCTGCAGGGACCATCAGGCTCCTCTCTGCCCCTGCCCCTGCCCCTGCCCCTGCTGCCCATGTCCCAGTTCACTTCTCTTTTCCTCTCCTCTCCCTTCCCCTCAAACAGATACTTTGCTGTCCTATAGGAGCTCCCACTGAGATTGTGGCAGGGAAAGATCAGTCATGGGCTAGAAGGGAGATAAAATAATCCTTAAGGAATTGCACTTAGTTTGTTAACCTCTTGAAGATCAAAAGGAGACACTGTGAAATCCAAGCACTGCAATCACAGGAGCCTGGCCCATCTAAGGCCCTCTGCTACCTGGCTGATGCCTGGGCCTCTCCCTGAATTACACAGGCTCCTTCAACTGGAATCTAGGCGTGCAGGAGACCAGCTCATCCTGGTTACCATGTGCAGGAAACATCTGCAGCTGTCACAGATGCTGACTCACAACATCTAGGGTGGAGCCGA